TACACCACACACTTTATTTGCCTCTTACCTATTGTTTTCTGCCATTTCTTTTCATGGTTGGGACGTGTCTCATGCACAGCTGATGGATCGGCCAGTGGATTGAAGGGAATTTGCATGAGGCCATATGAGCTTTTTGTTTGCAGTTTCCTTCTTTAGAGGGTTTTGAGATTCTATCCACTTTGACAACCCTGAATCCCTGCCTTTATCTCTCATAGGACTGCTACTTCATTCTTAGTTCCTTTCCTTGTGCATAATTTGGAAAATTTCTTATGGAAAAGCCTAGGGTGTCTGTTGTACATATTCCTTCTTTTGAGAAATGAAACCTGTAAGACCTGCCTACCTTGCTGGTTATTTTCACCCCAGGGAACTGCTTCATACTTAGGCCTGAAGGAAGAAGAGAGGTAGGTTAATAGAATCTCAAAGGATAGGTTCATAAAGAGCCACTTTGTCAGGAGTGTCACCTTTGGCAAGTGGTACAGATTTTCTGATTTGATCTGACTTCTGTTTCTTACCAAAGACTCCCTTGGGCCAAATTCAATGAGAAGCTGTTAATAGAAGGCAAGTACACATCTTAATGTTTTCCATGCAATTTAGCTTAGCAGAGTGATGATCACGGTAGATCAGGATGCAGAGTTCTACAGAGAAAAAAATACCAGAAGATATTTGCCTTAATTTGCCTTCATTCTTCAGCGTGTACTCGCCATACTTGATTTTAGTCAAAAGGCAGAGAAGCAATTAACATGCACTCCCTTCCTTTGGGAGAAAAAATTCTGTCCCTAGCAAATGAGACACATGAAACCATATCAATTATGGTATCATTATGATGTCATGTCAATTCAGTAATTTTCTTGAAACCTACATGTTAGGTAGCACCAGAATTCTTCATATAAAAAAACAGACTGTGGAGACAAACACATGGCGTAATAGTTATGTTGCTGGACTTCCATGTAGTTGACTGAAGTTCGAGTCCTGGACCCAATGGCATGTGTGCGTGTTGTGCCCAAAATCCCAAGAGGAGACTGGAGGAGAAGGGACTGCTGCATGGCCATTCCCCGTGGGGTGTGATTTCTTGCTTTCTGTCTCCGTCTTTCCAGCACAAGTGCACATGCCCCATAGCAAAAACTTCTCTAAAAAAAAAAAAGAAAAGAAAAGAAAATTAAAAAGTGAGACTGTGAAGTCCTATTTGACATACTGGGAGATAGTGTTATAGTCTAATTGGTGAGAAATAAGAGGACATCCAGACATAGCCAAATTTATTGATTAATAGGCCAGTTACTATGGGAGGACTCAGTGCCTCTCAAAACCCTGCACCCTGAGTGTAGGGAGAACGGGGTATATAAAGGCAAAACCACATTTGGGTTAACGTGGCAGGGGCAGTAATTATTGAGGGGAAGGTAACAAGGAGAAGGAGTAGTGATTCCTATGCTAAGTGGTTACAGAAGCCAGATCAAGTGGGTTAATAATCTCTAGACCTTTGCTTAAACACAGTGGAATCTTAATGGTCTTCAAAGACTCAGGGCAAGGGGTCTGTGGACTGATGATCACATCATTAAAGAATGTCTTAAAGTAGGGAGTTTTCAGTTATTTTAGCAAAGACAGTAGGAATAGGAGTGTTAATCACTCTGTTTACTCTAGGTAAAAAGAGAAAGCAAGTTTCCAATCTAGACAGTTCAAAATGGAGGTGTTCCTGCTTCACTGCTTCAGTAGAAAGGGAGGAAGTAAAAACAAACAAACAAACAAGTAAAATGAGACTACTTTAGTCTCTACTTTAATAGCTAGTTTTGAAAATTAACAATTAGCGTAATGGCTATGTTGCTGGACTCCCATGTAATCAACCACAGTTCGAGTCCCAGACCCGGCGGCTTAAATTCACGCTGAGTGTGTGTGTGTGTGTGTGTGTGTGTGTGTGTGTGCATGCGTGCCCAAGATCCTGCGAGGAGAATGGAGGAGAAGGGGTTGTGGTGTGGCCATCCCCCTGGGGGGTGATTACTTGCTTTCTGTCTCTGTCTTTCTGGCGAGCACACACACCCTATAGCAAAAAAAAAAAGAAAAGAAAATCGACAATTATAGCTGCCTTCTTCCACTACCCTTTGTGAGTTTCCTTCCCTTCTGCCATTACTTGGGTGGGTGGGATTCTTGCCTGCTGGTGTACTCCAAATCACCAAACCTTCAGGCACTGTTTCTATTTGTTACTTCCCACCAGATTCAACCAATATCTCAGCATCAATGTGGTAGCCCAGCACAGTATTCTGGGAAATATTAACAAATTTTCTCCAGACTTATTGATACAACCTGGATCAAGACAATTAAGATATTATCTTGTCATATAAATCCAGACAACAGAGTCTCACTCAGCTATGCTCCCTGCAGGATGCTTTTTGTAGGGGAGCTGAATAGTGCATGTATTTCACCACTGCTAGGAGTGTTCTGTAGGATGCCCTGATCCCTTTGGATGGTCTTGAGATGGACTCAGAATTGTGCTCCATCTCTTACTTGACCCACAGAATCCCCCATTCTGGTGGCTCACAGTGGAATTTTAGAATGATAGAATCAGTTTGAAGCCATTCTCAACCCCCAGAATCTATTGATATTTCCCATTCCCCAGTACATGGTCTTCCTGGTAAATACCTCTTCCAAAAAAAATTTATGCTATACATATTACAGGGTCTTTCCTTGAAAGGATCCAGCCTCCTCTCCCTGAAGCAGGGATGGCAGGTCTATGAAGTGGCTCAAGTCTGGGAACTTAAAACAGGCCACAGATACCATCTGAGGAGACTTGTATTCATTTATGCCCAGCAGAATAAGAATCCTCCTTATAATTTTTAGGGATTTTTGCAATCAGCCATTATTATAGATCCCTTTGAGCAAAACAGTTTGATTAGCATTCTGTCCTGTGGTGTACTGTGGTTATTTTTCCACCTCGTCTCTGAGGATGAAGCATTGCTACCTGACCTTTGTCATTCCAGGTTTTATTACTCTCAATGAGACTGAGGAGACTAGTTTCATTGCAGCACCATCCACCATCATTTCTGGCCTAGTGAAAACGGCTTAATGGTGGTGGTCCATGTGTTGGTACATATCTTAGTATTTTCCTAGATGGTATGAGAAGATTGCACACAATCAATCCAACATTGGTTTCTCTGGTCCTTTGGACTTTTATCCCTATAGGAAGGCTCTGGCATTTCAGCATTATTAAAAGAGATAATTATGGAGTTCTAGTCTTTACTCAACCAACTACTAATACCATTTGTGAATTCACACTAAATTCTAATTCCCAGATGGTTACACTTATCTCAATTAAATCAGCCTAATCATGACCTATTTCCCACTCCCCTTGTTCCAAAACTGTGAGTCTTGCTGCACCCAAAATGTTGGGATCTTAATTCCATTTTAGACCTGGAGGCAATGAAAAGATGGTAGAGGTGAGTCCTGAGAAATTGTCTTCAGTTAGTCATTGGAAGGTTTTTAAGTGAAAGAGTGATTTCTTTTCCCCCTTGGAGGAGATACTATTGAAAAACAGGAGTTGCCTCCGTCAACAGGAAATAGATGTTCAAGGCTCTGCCTCTTCTGTGTATGGCAAAATACCAGTATCTCATGTCTCAGGGTCCTATTCCCTTTGTATGCTTAGTGTAAAATATCTAGAAGGTTTTTGATTTACAGTTCATTTTTGTGCATCTTACATCAGACCCCAACTTTGTGACTACAAGAAATGAGGAACTCCTTAAAAAAATGCCAAGGTAACTTCTAGTTGCCCATGAATGTTTTAAATTGTATATTTACTACTATTATTTTTTACCCTTTTCCTCTGCCTGAGGCCATCAGATGATCTAGATGATTATCAGTGTTTTGTAATTGTTGTTGCTATAACAACTTAATGTCAAAACATCTTGCCCTCTATCTGCATTTCATTCCAAGTTACCATTGATAATAAGATGAATAATCAAGATGCTCTCACATCCTATAGATTTCCCATGTCCTGTTATCTCTGTCTTCTTTGAATATATTCACACCAATCCCAGAATTCTGTCTCAAAGGTCTGTTTTCTGGGGATGTTTTTCTTAAAATTACTTGTTTCTGAGTCCCACCAGGAAACAGATATTATATTCCTTTAGAAGGGGGATTTAATAAAGGAACTGTATACAAAACTATGATCAGGGTATCGAGAAACCGCAAGGGATGCTTTAAGTCCCTTGGGACTGTTAACAACAGAAATCTCTTAAGCTTGAAGGGAGGAGTGGAAAAACATTACCAGAATCCAGAAAGAAAAAGTTTCCAGAATGTCATCTGCCATCTTAAGAGAAGCTGGGTTCATTGGTTGACAGGCACAGCCAACCAGAGGCTACTTCCCACAGAAGGAGTCAGGAGACTCTCATACCTCCTACCAGGGATTCCCAGTGGCAAGAACCCGTAGAAAGCCAGGGGGTGGAGTAGGCCTCTTCAGGGCAGAGAGCAAGATGTAAGATGATAGAGAGGCACACCAGTTCTGTGAAGTTTCAAGAATGTGTTTGGTGCTATGTGTTTAGGTTAAGGAGAACGAAAATATTACCGTCTGGTAAGGTTTTCTCATACCAGAACTAAGGCACTTACCAACTTTTGAAAGGAAAAGGCAAGGACTTTAAGAAACTCATGTCTATATTCTGCTTACTTTTTCAGGGGAAGCGTGACTTCATAGACACCATAGAACTCTCATGAGTAATTCATGAATGCTAGGGCTTACTCTGTGTTGTTCCCAAAGTAACAAATATCTGGGCTTTATATTCATCACCTTTATTAAATAATTTCATTTACTAATTACATAGATATTATAGTTAACCATTCAATATAATAATAAATATTTTGGGATAAATAATTTAAGTGAAAACAGTTTAGAGCCCGTAGGGCTTACTAAAAGAATCTTAAAAGATCCATATTTATAATCCGAAGACTAATAGTTACAAAAAGTAGCAAACCATACATCCAAAAATAAATATAAATTTTAAATAAATAAATAGAAAGCCTGATACATTTTAAATGGGAGGCACTTAATTCAACTCAGTGTTGAAATGATGCTTTGACAGAAGGTAATCCACATATTCAGAAATTCCACGATAGTTGCTACCCTGTCTTCATATTCACACACGGATGTTTCAGAGCCCTGTTAAAAAGTTTAAGTTTTTTAGTACAGAGTGGTTTATCTTATATATAATTATTCTCAATCCAAGTCCTTTAGGCTTATAACTTTTCTTTTTCAAGCTTGTTAAACATTAATCACCAAGATTCATGAAATTATCAAATGATATCCCAAAAGTACACATTTTGATATGATAACAAGTGATAGTAACATACAAGTTGAAATTTTCATTTGTGAAATCCCTTGTCAATGAACAAATTTTTCCTCCAAAACTGGGTACAAATAAACATTTAAAGAAAAATAGTTCTAGACATTTATTTTATTAAATGCTGCATGTGAAATAAAGTTGTTTGACCTCTTTTCCTTTGAGTATGTATCTATGTATATCAATATCTATGTATATTAAATGTATGATGTGATATGTACATTATATTTTCATTTTTCTAAACCATGAAGCGTCTCCTATTTTTCTATTCAAGTGAATGTTCACATATTTTCCCCAAACCAGGATAGACCCACCCTGTGTAAATTAGGACAAGCTTCTGTTAAGGAGAAATTTGTGTGAAGAACATTTTCATAAACACCATACTCACCCCACCCAAGTATCAATATAGGTGAATTTTCCAATTGTTAAATATCAAAAAGAAATTTTGTTCTTTGAGCTGACTTTTTGGAAATTAACCTTCTCTGCTGAAAGGAGCTATTTCAACTTTTCCTCTAGCTGAGAAGCTAAGAAGGAAATATTTTGATAGATAGTGGTACTAAGGGAGGACTTTTTCAAATTTGAAGTCATTGCTATCTTGGATACACAACCATGTGAAATAAAGTATTTCCTTTAATAAGTATTCCCTTTTATTTATTTATTTATTTATTTATTTATTTATTTATTTATTTATTTATTTTAGGTGTTTTGTTTTGTTTTGTTTTGTTTTTTGCTGTAGGGTGCATGTGCTTGCCAGAAGGAAAGACAGAGAGACAGCAAGAAATCACCCCATGGGAGGATGGCCACTCGCAATCCCTTCTCCCCTCTGTTCTCCTCTCAGGATCTTGGGCATCCACACACATGTGCCCAGCGTGAGTATAAGCCACCGGGTCCAGGACTGGAACCGTGGTCGGACTACATGGGAGTCCAGCGACATAGCCATTAATGCCAACCGCTGGTCCCAAAAAGTATACCCTTTAAGTAAACTGTTAAAGTGCTACATACCCTCTTACATGTAATTATTTAAATATATAATCTCTTGAAGGTTTTTAAATTTTAAAAAGTACCTTTTTAAAGTTTTATTTTTACATATCATCTTAAATTTTTTAAAGAGGGATTTGTTGCTATAGGGTGTGTGTGCTTGCCAGAGAGACAAACAGAAAGAATCCACCCCTACCCCCACCCCCACCCCATGCCAGGGGATGGCCACACCACAGTCCTTTCTCAGCTTCATTTTCCTCTCAGTATTTTAGGCACACATGCACATCCACCTGCATGAGTTTCAAGTCTCCAGGCCAGGACTCAAATGGTGGTGGCCATGTGTGAATCCAGAGATGTAACCATTACACCATCTGTTGGCCCCAGTGTCTTCCATTTCTTTTTTTGGGAGGGGGGAGAGAGGAGGGAGAGTTTTTGTTTGTTTGTTGGTTGGTTGGTTGGCTTGTTTTTTTTTGTTTGTTTGTTTGTTTGTTTGTTTGCTTTAGGGCACGTGTGCTTGCCAGAAGGACAAAGACAGAGAGACAGAAAGCAAGAAATCACCCCCCAGGGGAGGATGGCCACACCGCAATCCCTTCTCCATTCTCCTCTCAGAATCTTGGGCACGCACGCACACACGCGCCCTGTGTGAGTTTAAGCCGCCAGGTCGGGGACTCTAACCGTGGTCGACTACATGGGAGAGTCCAGCAACATAGCCATTACACTAACTGCTGGTCCCAGTGTCTTCAATTTTTATAAAGAGTTTAGAGTGAATTTTCTGATGTTGGTCAATGATTTTTAGACCAAATCTCTTGACACAGATAAACTGAGTCTATCAGTGTCTAGATGATATTGAACTCAATGTATTTTTTGTTTTTTTTTGTTTTGTTTTTTTTTGTTTGTTTGTTTGTTTTTTTGGAGAGAGTTTTCACTGTAGGGCGCGTGCGCTCGCCCGACAGAGAGACAGAAAGCGAGAAATCACCCCCCAGGGGGGATGGTCACGCCGCAATCCCTTCTCCTCCATTCTCCTCTCGGGATCTTGGGCACGCACGCACACACGCCCGGCGTGAGTTTTAAGCCACTGGGTCCGGGACACGAACCACGGTCGACTACGTGGGAGTCCAGCGACATAGCCATTACGCTAACTGCTGGTTCCCTCAATGTATTTTTTAAAAAATAAACTGAACAGTCCACTGTGACTCTTACTTGGAAACAACTAGAATTACATATTTTTAGAAACTAGATGGTTCTACTATAATTAAACTTATGCTGCTATTTAGGGAAGCTATTAACTGATGAAACTTGGTTTTAGACAGATGAAATAAGAGAACAATGAATCATTTTCCTATCTCCTGAGTCGCTTGCATATTTGATGCTTTCTATGAATTTAGAAATACTTAAGGCCCTGGAAGTGAACATTACCTCAAAATAAAGAGTTAATTATCTAGTATGTTGGCCATGGTCATGGCTGCCCTCCCATTTTTTTTTTTTTTAAGAAAAATCTATGATTAATCTTTCCACAAAATAATAGAGAAGCACCATTGAAAAGCCTTTCAGGTCATCAGTTGTGGCTGTTCTGGAAAATGATTTGAAGGAACTGAAAATATATAATGAAATCTGTTTGCTTTCTCAGAAATTCAGTTCAGTGCCTTCTACTCCCAGTTTCATGGTAATGTAAGAGGTGATGGTGTGTGGGGTGAAGGCTTGTCCCTGAGTGGATGGCAGGTGAAAGCCCTCTTGTTTACGCTTCCCATCTCCATAGTGGATTTAAAATGTTGGCTAATTAAATGCATGGATACTTCACAAATACCAAAGCTGTTACACTACTTTAAAATGTGGTACTTTTCCCCTTCCATTTATTTTACTTCCTGGAAAGCAAATAAAGTAGTTCCTTACCTTCAATTCCAGAACTGTTACATTGATGTTGCTGATTAATTGCCTGGTATCTTTTAAGTGAAAGTTTTTGCTTTGAGCTAAATTTAGCACTTTCTCCAGAGGTTTGAGTTCTTCTTCTAGACACTGAAGATGTTTCAATTCTGTGGCCTAGAACAGTAATAAAAATAATTGTCAGCCCAGTTTACCCTATACTTAAAAGTCAAAACTAAAAATTGAAAAATTGATCTCTAGTTCATGTTATTAAGAGTGGCAGTATATAGTTTTTACCATTGTCCCTGTTCTCAGTATTGCTGTAAAGATACAGTTGATACAGTTTACATTATAAAACTGAAAAAACTAAAGCTCAAGTGCGTCTGACTAGTATTAGCTGTTAGTTCTTAACCAATGAGTTACTAGTTTTAGCCTAATGTGACTTTGCAGAAAGTCAGCGCTCTTGCATCCCAATGCAAATCACTAAAGCAGGCTAACTACTTTTCCAGTATCCATACTGATCATTAGAATCAGAACACAGAAGTGTAGGAATCACATTCTATGACTGTAATAATTGTTAGAGTCAAGAATCGTACATCAGCGGACAGAGTAGCCCTTGGGTGCCATCACAGTTCCAGCATTTTACAGACTTGGTCATTGTAATGATCTAAATACCTGTTAGTACATAAAGTACTACAGATTGGCCCCATAGTAATGACTCTCAACATACTCTAGAGCAGGACATAGTTAACTGGATCTTAAACTTTTACTTTTCTACAATAATTACAGTAAGATACATTTTTTTTTTTTTGGAGAGATTTTCACTGTAGGGCGCGTGCGCTCGCCAGACAGACAGAGACATAGAGACAGAAAGCGAGAAATCACCCCCCAGGGGATGGTCACGCCGCAATCCCTTCTCCTCCATTCTCCTCTCGGGATCTTGGGCACGCACGCACACGCGCCTGGCGTGAGTTTTAAGCCACCGGGACCGGAACACGAACCGCGGTCGACTACATGGGAATCCAGCGACATAGCCATTACGCTAACTGCTGGTTCCCAGTAAGATACATTTTAAAAAGTTACTGGTCTCAACCAAATTTAAGCCCATAATATTTGAAAAATTTTAGACTGAAAGCTAGAATGAATTTCACCATTGTCATTTCAAAATGCTTTGTCCTAAATGAGCCCGTTTAAGTCTCAGAGCCATCTTTTGAGGTAGGCAACTCAGTATTGTCATCACCATTTTACAAATAAAACTAAATCTCAAGATCTGTTTCTTCCTTAAGTCCACATGAGTAGGTAGTACAAAGATTAAATTTCTATTCTTTTTCATCATAGCATTAACATAGCATCCTTGTATCTAAATTTTTTTATTTCTAAAATCTTTTATAAACATAGAATGGTGGTTAAATGAACAAAGGAATAGCATTTATCACATTACTTTTGGTTTCAAAGAGAGTTTAGAAACTGTCATTTAGAAACTGTCAGATTTCAAAGAATTTCACCTCCCCCTAAATTCTGCATATAATCTCATGTTATCTTTCTAACAATCGTTAGAGGGAAAGCTAAGATTAAATAACACACATCTCCTGATATGTGTATCTACTGCTTTTTCAACTACTGCCAGTTCAGAGCTTAAGTTTTTGGCACATAAGCAACTTAACATGGAACTGTTTTCTTCAGGAAAGAGTCTAGTGTCTTTATTTTGATGGAGTTACAAGGTATGTGGCTTTGATTCAACTAGAACATCCGTAAGCTATTTAGTTTTCATCTATAAGAAGTCTATGTTAGCAGAATTCCTTTGAATTACCAGCAATGGATCAACAGGATTACATCTGAGTCCCATTAAATCTCATTTTTTTCCTGGGCTTGGATTCACCCTCCCCACCAGCACAAGCTCTGGCACCAAAGTTACTATTTTCTGTTGACTGGCACAACTACTAGAAAACCTTATGCCCCTATTCTAGCTTTAGAAGGCTGAATAAGCTATGCTTATTGTCTGTCAGAATCCCAACACAAACAAACGAAGCTTTTAATCTTGAGAAACAAGCCTTATTGCATCGAGAATCTTGTTCTATTGATAAAAAGACATGTAAGTCCTAATTTTTATACTTCCCAGTAGAAGTTTGTCTTTATTATTAATAATAATAGCTAATGTTATATAGTATTTATCATATCCAGACAGTATTCTGAGTGCTTTATATGTATTCGTTAATGCTCACAAATTATATTGAGTATATGCAGTTATTAATCATATAAGGAGAAAAGAACCTGAATTATAGAGTAAGTAATGTACCCAGGGTCATGAAAGTTAGGGCATGGCAGAGCTGGGATTTCATTTCAGACAATCTGGCCCCAGAGTCCATGTTATTAATTAACTGTGCCATGCTATCACTCCAAGAATCTCAGGAAAAGTTCTTAAAACAACAAAGGATTTTCGAGTGGCCTTTTCTAAAATCAATTTTCATGCTTTACATGCTAAGATGATATAATCAAATATTTTTAGAGTTTTATATCTTAAAATAAATTGATAACATAATCAAACATTAAAGTGAGCGTATTGTTTTTGTATTTTCTTCCTATCCTTCTCCCTCAACACAAAGTACATATAAAAAAGATAAGCAAACCTATTTTAACAGATGTTCCATTATCAAACTTGAGTTTAAAAAAAGTTACTCATTCTTTTCCTCAGTTTAAAAAAAAATAGCTACTCATCCTTTTCTTTAACCCAATCAGGCTGTAAATTGTCATACTACTTTGATATTAATATATAAATTGAACATAGAAAATTGTATTTACCTTTCTGGGTGTATAAAATTTAAATGTGAGCATCCTGGAGAGCATCTTTGGGTTCTTGTAATTCTGAGAAAGAATAACACATTGATATCATAAAATGGACTCCAGCTAGAAAAGTTCAGTGTTATGAGTTTAGTATGAAACAGACTATACTTACATTAATTCCATTCAAAATCTTCTGTAAATCCAGCAGTAAGTGCTCCAGTGGTTCCTTTGTATCCACGGTAGAGCTCGAAGTAGGTGCACTGTTTGTGACGAGGACAAGAGTGAAGGCAATGCAAGACAAGAGTTGCATTTTGTGCATTGTGGCAGGCGGTGAGGTTACTGAGAGTAATGATTAGAGAGGGTGATAGGAAGCTCTCAGACAAGAGAAGCAATTTATACTGTTAATTCTGGAAAAATATTATGGGGGTGTCGAGATGTTTTACATATTACACATATTTTCAAAGGCTCTACCTGTGTGGCAAAAAAGCATTACCTTTATTTTTCCTCTTCTGATGACTCTTTGGAATTTCTTTAAACCCCCATAAACTGACTGAATTGGATGTAGGTGAAATCCCTCTTGGTTACATTAGCCCACACTTAGGTGGCAGTTGTACAACACCTTCTGTATGAAACAAATTTTCCTCCTTTCTTTAAGGGGGTGGGGATACCAAAGTAACTCATGAAAATTTTCTCTTTGTCATAAAACTATGCTGACATGTGAGCAGCATGTGGTGGTGGACAAGAGCCAGATTAAATAGATGAAAAGAATAAGTTTTTAGATTTGTTGATTAAACAGGAAGAATATTGGTTTCCTGTTTCAGGACGTTTTTACCTTTTTGTCTACATGATAAGCTAATTGCATACAGTAGTTCTTACACGATCAGCTAGAGAAATGATTAAGCTTAGAATGTATAAAATGCCTTTTGAGCTTGAGGTATTGTTTTATGCTGTTTCTGTATCTGTTTACATCTCTTTATGTCTGTTATACTTTTTTTTTTTTTTTTTTTTTTTTTTTTTTTTTTTTTTTTTAGGGTATGATGTGTAACAAACAAACACTCAGTTAAAAGGCTTGCATCCAAAGATATTGGTGCTCAGTTTATAACAGACTTTATATGTTTCATATATAAACCAGCCCATGTTTCTAGTTTTTATGTTTTCACCTCTTTAATAGATTTGGATTTATCCTCCAAGGACCTGGGACACTTTGCTTGTAATAATAGTAGTTATGAAATGTGATCAGATTCGTATTTTTTGGGTGGTGGATTGGGTAGGACACAGGGTATGTATTCATTTGTCCTTAGAATGATAGAATATAGCAATTGGCTAAATTATGTTATTTGTATACTCCTAATTTAACCTGGGGAGAATTGAGGAGATTTCTTCTCAAAGAGGTTGCTTATAGTGCCTCCATTTTTACTGCCATACTCATTTCTCATCTGATCTTTAAACAGACATTTAGCACATATGAAGCTCTCAGGTATTCAGAGAGGGAGAAAGGAAAAGATAACAATGCAAGCATAGTCTTACTTAAACATTACAACGACTCTATGAAGTGATGGTTCCCATTTTGTAGGTTAGAAAACTGAGGCTCAGAGAAGCTAAGTATTTCGTTTTAGGTTGGTAGCCCTCAATGCCAATAAGAGACAAAACAAGGATTTGTAAGTAACCAGGATGTTCTGAGTCCGAACTTCACTCTCTCACTACTTTGTATTTTTTGTTGAAGAATCTAATGTATAATAGGAAAGATGTATGTAGATACATGTAATTCTGGGAAAAGGGTGATTTCTGCCTCAAGAAAGTTGGATATAAAGAATTTCGAAGAGGGGACAATTACTTTAAATTAGATTTTGATAATGGGGGTTAGGCAGGAAGAATTAAATATTATTCTAAGTAACATTGACTTGTAATCAAAATGACAAAAACAGAGAACACGGTTCAGTAACACCTATACATACATTAGACTTTATTCTGGATATAAAACATATTTTAAATATAAAACATCTTCCTAAAATTTTAAAATAAGCATTACTGTTTCTCGGGTAGGAAAAAAAAAAAAGGACAATCTAGATTAGGGACAAATCTCATGACCTTTCTTTTTGTTACTAAAAATGCAAACTTTCTACCTTTTAAATCAAAACCACAATGTTAGCACTGTTATAAAAAGGGGAGGTTATTTGGCAATCTGTGTGTTGACTTTATTATGATTGTTTCGCTTCTCTAAAAACTTTTAGGAAGATCATACAGTGGCAGAGGAGTAAAATGGACATTCGCGACACTGACCCACATGGAACGTTCACATTTAGAGCCTCCCTGAATACACTGGGTACCTGCACGCCAGGATGAGGACTGGCCGAAGCTGGGGCTGGATCCTGGCATCAGGACCCTTTTGAGGAGTGCTGTTATCTCTGTTTTGCTCACTCATGGAAAAAACTAATGAAGGCATGAATTAATGAATGACTTTTAGAATGTCATTCCAGCGTCATTATTCAGACATTTACCTTTCCAGAATGGAAGAATTTAAACCCACACATTTTCCTGTGTGGGGGCTTTTCCAATGAGGCCTTTGATGTTCTCACAGTCTTGATATTTATATTTTTCCAGCTATTTCCATTAGAAAATGGGCAGTCTATGGCTGTATTTCTGAGGCCCTGAACAAAATCGAGTCCCTAGGTTATCCTCCTTACCGTCTAACAGGCACCATTACAGAAGTTATACTTTCCTCCGTGAAGTACTTGGGGAGAAAGTTACCATGCACTGTGGTCACTTTCACTTTTCTAAGACATCTGACACATCAGCTGACTTTTCTGGCTAAAGTGGTAGACTGCTAACTACCATGTGTCACACCCTCTACTCCTTTTACTATGCAAAATTTTGCTGTTCAACAAAAGTTTTAGCATTATTTGTGACTCAGCCCCCATGACTCAAGGGTAGCCTAAGTCCTTTAAAAAGGGTTGCCCCTGTCACTGAGGCTACCTACGAAAGAGGTGGGCCAGTCTGCTGCATATACTGTCCATCTATCACAGCTGCTTTTAAGGACTCCATCCTCAGGGGAATTTCTTCTTTCTGACCCTTTCAATTGGTCTGGACCTTGAAACGTATTAATGCATCTCTTGTCAGTTTCGCTAATGGCCTCTTGGCTTTTCCTCCCCCTTTGAAATTTGGACATACTGTTGGGTAATCTCTACACCATCCAGAGAGAATTCAGCTGGCAGTTCTGTATTTCCCATGAAAATCTGTATTTCTCCAGGCAGAGGTTGGTGACCTGTTTTGTCTCTATCAGACCTATCGTTCTCCACAACGTAATACCACTTCCATAAACCTGTCTTTGATCACAGTTAAGTCTTCATTGTGCATGCTCACTTTTCCAGCTGGTAAACTTAATTATATTCATAATGTTTTGGGATAAAAGAATTATTCCCTTGGCACTTTTAATTTTACAAAGTGTTTTAAAATTATTTCTTTGAGTCACATTTTACTTATAAGAAATAGGATGTCTGCAAAGGTTCAGTGACTTGCTCAGAATCACTATTTCTAACTAGTGAAGTTAGAATGAAAACTCAAGTCCTCCCCACCCATCATAATCTCATCTATTTCCTATGTAAAATAGCAGTGCTAAATTCTAGGCCCATTAGCCTTCACACAGTAGGTTAAATTAGATTGTGCCTTCTACTCTGCCTCATTTTGTCTGTGATAGCTAATAGTCAGGAAAAGAATCACCCACCTTCATGTAAACAACACTTAGAGAAACTTCAGGATTTTTTTTTAAATTTATGTTTAACCACTGTACATCTTTATAGTATATGATATGTATTCTCAAAGCATAAATACATTGCACGTCAAGCAAGTAAAACATACTACCATACACAATAACTTGTAGCAGCTGAATTCACACAGCAGCTACAAAAGCTGGATTCTGCTCATGGTTTAGAATCTCTTTCTGGGGTTTTTAGAAAAGTACTAGAGCCCTTGATGTTTCCTAAAATTTCTCCCACCTCCAAAGTAAAGAAAAGACTACATCCACTGTGGATTTCAGCTGCATTATGCTATAAGGAGTGCAGTGCTCTAAGGCTGATGTGGACGTACTGCACTAGCTGCACTGGCAGCCAAAACACCTCACTACTTAAATGTGAAGAGAATGGGAGTATCTTCAAACCCTATGGAAATTTACTTTTTGTATAAATAAGAGACCTCTATGACAAATCACACAGCAGTTGCTAGAGGTAGAATACGAAAGTCTTCTGACAGTAATAGTAATAAATTTGCAAAGTACTTCAAGTTTATAAAGTACTTTCACATCAATTTACCTCATTCATTTCACCTCCCCTTCCCAGAGTGATGGCTACACCACAAAAGGGTTGCCCCTGTCACTGAGGCTACCTACGAAAGAGGTGGGCCAGTCTGCTGCATATACTGTCCATCTATCACAGCTGCTTTTAAGGACTCCATCCTCAGGGGAATTTCTTCTTTCTGACCCTTTCAATTGGTCTGGACCTTGAAACGTATTAATGCATCTCTTGTCAGTTTCGCTAATGGCCTCTTGGCTTTTCCTCCCCCTTTGAAATTTGGACATACTGTTGGGTAATCTCTACACCATCCAGAGAGAATTCAGCTGGCAGTTCTGTATTTCCCATGAAAATCTGTATTTCTCCAGGCAGAGGTTGGTGACCTGTTTTGTCTCTATCAGACCTATCGTTCTCCACAACGTAATACCACTTCCATAAACCTGTCTTTGATCACAGTTAAGTCTTCATTGTGCATGCTCACTTTTCCAGCTGGTAAACTTAATTATATTCATAATGTTTTGGGATAAAAGAATTATTCCCTTGGCACTTTTAATTTTACAAAGTGTTTTAAAATTATTTCTTTGAGTCACATTTTACTTATAAGAAATAGGATGTCTGCAAAGGTTCAGTGACTTGCTCAGAATCACTATTTCTAACTAGTGAAGTTAGAATGAAAACTCAAGTCCTCCCCACCCATCATAATCTCATCTATTTCCTATGTAAAATAGCAGTGCTAAATTCTAGGCCCATTAGCCTTCACACAGTAGGTTAAATTAGATTGTGCCTTCTACTCTGCCTCATTTTGTCTGTGATAGCTAATAGTCAGGAAAAGAATCACCCACCTTCATGTAAACAACACTTAGAGAAACTTCAGGATTTTTTTTTAAATTTATGTTTAACCACTGTACATCTTTATAGTATATGATATGTATTCTCAAAGCATAAATACATTGCACGTCAAGCAAGTAAAACATACTACCATACACAATAACTTGTAGCAGCTGAATTCACACAGCAGCTACAAAAGCTGGATTCTGCTCATGGTTTAGAATCTCTTTCTGGGGTTTTTAGAAAAGTACTAGAGCCCTTGATGTTTCCTAAAATTTCTCCCACCTCCAAAGTAAAGAAAAGACTACATCCACTGTGGATTTCAGCTGCATTATGCTATAAGGAGTGCAGTGCTCTAAGGCTGATGTGGACGTACTGCACTAGCTGCACTGGCAGCCAAAACACCTCACTACTTAAATGTGAAGAGAATGGGAGTATCTTCAAACCCTATGGAAATTTACTTTTTGTATAAATAAGAGACCTCTATGACAAATCACACAGCAGTTGCTAGAGGTAGAATACGAAAGTCTTCTGACAGTAATAGTAATAAATTTGCAAAGTACTTCAAGTTTATAAAGTACTTTCACATCAATTTACCTCATTCATTTCACCTCCCCTTCCCAGAGTGATGGCTACACCACAATCCCTTCTTTATTCCCCTCTCAGGATTTTCGGCAGTATGTACATTTGCCTAGCATGATTTTCTAGCTGCCTGATCTGAGACTCAAATCACAGTTGGTCATGTGGGAGTCCTGCGCCTTAACCACCACATCCCTCCATCCCATTTCACACCTTTTAATCTCATTTCATGGCAAAATAGTAAAGAAAGAAACAGATTATATAGCTACATTTATTTTATACAGCCAGAACTTTACTTCCTTCATATGTTAATAATTTAACATTACAACTTACAGATAAATATTAGCTTTCTCTCTGCCAAGAGAAACACTTTTATTAACATTTTGTACAGCTAAAATTATTATGCATTGTCAATTAAGCTTCTATACATCTAAGTGTTTTTCTTGCTTAACCTTGTTCCTAAGTTCTCTGTTCGGAGTTATTCTTCTCCTACAGTGGTTTTGAATGTGCCATTGACAGAAAGTCCATCTAAAGAGGGGGGAATGACCAAACCACAATCCTTTCTTTTCCATTCTCCTCTCGGAATCTTGAACATGCGTGCATATGTGCCCGGTGTTGAGTTTTAAGTTTCCAGGTCCAGGGCTCAAATCACTGTTGACTATGTGGGAGTCCAGCCATATAACCATTATGCCATCTGCTGATCCCTTAAATAATATATATTTTAAAGATTCTAGCTTGATATTTTAAAATTTATAACATACCATCTAATTATAAAATACATATTCATTATAGAAAATTTGAGAAATGCAGATAAGCTAAAAAATTTTTAAAAATCAACTGTAATATTACTAGATAGAAACCATTGTTAATATATTTCACTTTACACTTCTGCAGATCAAGGCAAAAAAAATATAGAAGACAGTAATGCTAGAGAAGAGGAGAAACTCAAGCAAATCAACACACCTTTGAAGACCCACTCATGCTACCCATGGAGATGGGATGAGGAACCAGCCTCTACAAATATGATGCATCTGTAGCTCCTGTTACTAGGAAGAGAGGAAAGGCTTTCCCATCACCTCATGGTAAGTGTACTTTTTATTCCAGTAGACCTTCCAGAAATAGATACATAGGTGTTTAATTTTAGAGTTATGTTTGCCTCATATATAATGGTTTTTTTAAATTTGTAAATATGTACTTCATTTTTTAAAAAATGCATGGTAGAGCATATGCACGTATGCATGCAAGAGAGAGAAAAAGAAAGTTACCCTGCACAGGGCTCGGTCACACTACAGTTCTCTTCCTCTAGTCCTCCAGCCCACCTCGATCCTAGGCACAAGTGCAAGTGCCTGGCACATTTTCAGGCCCACAGTGCTAGGGATTGAACCCATACTCATCATGTGGCTTCCAACTCCGCAGGCTAGCATGCTATCAGTATGCCACAGGGGCTAGGACATGCACCTCCTTCTGAATTCTCTTGCTTGTCATTGACCAAGCTATTGGGCACACACCTCCGGACTCCTTACTTGAAGATGATAGGATTCTTGTAGAGTTTATTTCATGCCTTAGACCAAGATTGTCTGCAGACAAACCTGCCCAGACCTCTGTACTTGATGGGGTTGGATCTTCTGCTTCCCACACCTTAGACTAGTAGAGTCGAGTCAGATTACTTGACATCAGTTCTCAATAAGCCTGACTTGTGAGTACAGTTGTTGAATGCTGTAGAGAAGACAGCAAGTAAACATGCCCTGAAGCCACAGGTAGATTATGGCACCTAGACCCCGTTGGGAGTATTGTCTCCCTCTTGAGCTTGTTCATGGAAGAAATAAGTAAACTTTAAATAATAATAATAATAAATGAAGCATACCAAAAAGTCCAATTATGTCTAATATCTCTTATTTCTTAAGAAGAGGGAGGAAACCCCACGTATAACCCAGGGGCCATCTCAGAGGCACACTAGATGTTGGAGGTGTAATGGACAGTCTTCCAATGGACAGTCTTACATTTTTGTTATTCTGAATATGGTAACATCATGAAGGCAACACCATGAACTCTTGGAGAAAAATACTTATTCTGTTGAGATGTGAATATAGTCTCTAAAAGAAGGAGTAATTACTCAGCATGGCTGCTTGTTGAACCAGAGCAATCATGAAATGTTTTAGATATAGCAGTAGGCAAAAAAATAATGCTTAACAATTTTACTTTCTCTTGAAGTGAGGAATTGTTAATGTTATATTTATATATTCAATGACTGTATAACATTACAACATGCAAAATGAATTTTCCCACCATGAATGCACTGCATATTAGTCCAGTAAAAGATACTATCAGACATGTTATCATCAATAGATAATTTTCCATTTTTATGTCCCTTAAACGTTTTACTTCTTTCTTTTTTCTCTTGATTCCCTTCTTCTCTCTCTCTCCCATTTCTCACTCTCCTCCCACACTGTCTCTAGTATCCACAATTGTTCTCTATGCTTTCATATCTTCCAGTCTTTCAATTTCTGCCATAGGGTGTGGACATTCAGTATATATTGAGTGGGGATTTCCAGTGCCTTTCTTTCATAGTCTGATTTGCTTTGCTTAGCAGTAAATCTTCTATATTTGTCCAATTTCTATCAAATGCCAGGATCTTGTTGTTTTTTGACTGAGTAGTACTCCATAGTTATATGTTTCACACTTTTCCAATCTATTCATTTGTTCATGGACATTTGGGTTGGTTCTGTGTCTTGGCAACTGTGAATATGTGCAATAATTTAATATGTCTTAGCAATAAACATGTGCAAGTGTTTTTCCAACCAAGTGTATTCCTGTCCTTTGGGTAGATACCCAGGGATGGAACTGCTGGATCATATGATAGATCTGTTTGTAGGTCTTTGAGGAGCCTCCATATTGTTCTTCACAATGGCTATATTAATTTGCATTCCCACCAAAAGCGTAGGACAGTTCCCTTTTCACCACAGCCTTACCAGCACTTACCATTTTAAATTTTTTTCTTTTTTTTTTTTTTAGAGAGAGATTTCTGCTATAGGGTACATGCACTCACCAGCGAGACAGACAGAAAGCAAGAAATCACCCCCCAGGAGCAATGGCCGTGCCACAATTCCTTCTCTATTTTTCGCTCGGGATTTTGGGCATGTGCGCACACAAGCCTAGTGTGAGTTTTAAGCTGCCGGATCCGGGAGTTGAATAGTTGACTACATGTGAGTCTAGCAACATAATCATTACACCATCTTCTGGTCCCTCATTTTTAATTTTTTAATCTTAGCCATTGTGAGTGGGGTTAGGTGGTATCTCATTGTGGTTTTGGTTTGCATCTTTCTATGATAAGGATTGTTGAACATTCTTTTCATAGGCTTTTTGGCTGGCTGTGTGTCTTCTTTAGAGTTGTCTGTTCAGCTTATTTAATTGGGTTTACCTTTTTTTTAGGAGGGAGGGCATAAAACTGCTTGAGTTCCCAGTATATTCTGGTTATCAGTCCCTTATCTGAGGTATAACTTGTGAATATATTTTCCCAGTCTGAGAGTTGCTGATTCACTCAAAATATTGTTTCTTTTGCTGTGCAGAAGCTTTTAAACCTGATATAGTCCTACCTATCTATTTTTGGGATCATTGCCTGTGCTTGGGTCTCTTATTTAAGAAGTCTTTGTCTACTCTGATGTCTCCAAGAATTTCCCTTGTGTTATCCCTCAGTAATTTTATTTAAAAGAATCGATGAGCATGATGGGAGACAGCATGAACGTGCAAAATAAAATTCTTGAGAATTTGAAGTGAATGTACTGGGAGACAAAAAAAAAAAAATAGCCCATCTTTTCTGTGTACAATATGCGCAAGAGGAAGAATAAAGTTCTGTTGCTAAGCAAACCAAACCACAGTGAGATACTTCTTCATGTGCCTGGCATGAATTTAAGCCACCAGGTCTGGGACTCAAACCACAGTTGACTACATGAGAATTCAATGACATAACCCTTATGCCAACTGCTGGTCCTATAGCAGCATTATCCTTAATAAACAGAGTAGAAGCAACCCAAATTCTCATTAGCTGTTGAATGGATAAATTAAATGTGATATTACCATACAATGGAATACTTCGTGGCAAGAAAATGACCAAAGCACTGATATTTTCTACAGCAAATATGAACCTTAAAAACATTATGCTGAAAGAGGTTGATCACAAAAGGTCAGATATCATATGATTACATTTATATAAGATGCCTTAAATAAGCAAATCCATAGTGTCAGAAAGTAAATTAGTGGTTTCCAGGGATTAGGGGAAAGGGAGAATTGGGAGTGACTGGTAATGGGTATGAGGTTTCTTTTTGGGGAGATGAAATGTTCTAAAATTTAATATTAACAATGGCTGTACAAATCTGAGAATATTTTTAAAAAACCACTTAGGGGACCAGCAGATGGTATAATGGTTATGTCACTGGACTCTCATGTAGTTGACTGTGGTTCAAGTCCGAGACCTACTGCTTAAAACTCATGCTGGGATGTGTGCCCAAAATCCCAAGAAAAGAATGGAGGAGAAGGGACTGTAGCGCGGCCAACCCCCCAGGGGGTTATTTCTCACTTTCTATCTCTCTGGTGAGCACATACACCCTATAGCAAAAATCTCCCTAAACAAAACAAAACAAAACAAAACAAAAACAAAAAATTTAGTTGTGCACTCACATGGTATATAAATTATATCTCAAAGCTGTTTAATATTTTCTAGCTTCACAGCTGTAGTTTGAATATATGCCATGTGATTTTAGTTTATAGCCATAATGAAATAAATATATATCTCAAAATGCAGGTAGATTTATCTCTAAATATTTAATATATAACCAGTGCATATAAAACATTGTATTGTTACAATTAACATAAAAATACATAAAAATTGAATTATTATAATTAACAAGAATGAAATAAACAGGTAACAATTTTAGGTCGTCTCCATTGTTAATTAATAAAGGATACTACGTGGCATTTAATTACTATTTCTGATGCTGGTTATCTTCTAATTAGGTCACAAACATTAGGTAACAAAAAGTGTTAACACTTTTTCTTGGAGTAATAAATGAAAATGGCATCTTTCAACATACAATTAGGTCTGAATGCTTGAAAAATATTTCTTAAGATAAGTAACTATACTAACAAGTACTGTATAAATGTGGCAATAGTTGAAGAAAAGAAGAATGCCCAAAAAAGTACATGATGCCTATAAATAACCAGGCCTAGCTTATACTTAATATTAGGTAGCAAGTTAACAGCTCTGTGTGTGCTTCTGGCTTGGATATTAAATAGCAGAGCATGGCAGAAAAAGCAGAAAACCTAGGTCAGAGGATTCATATGATAACCTGTAAATGTTAGCCCTTATGGCGATTGTTTGTTTTCTGTTTTAATTAAGCCAACATTTAAAATCGGAAGATTTAACCTAAAAGACTGATTGCTTGGAAACTCTGAAGGTGCAACAGCATTAAAGCCACTTGCTGAAACAGGGAATGTGCTGCCCTCTTTTTGTTCCCTTACACAGTAGTTACCTGTGCACATACAGCTAGCTACTTTACTCATTATATAATGGTTTTAATGCTAACTGTGAACTTTTCTTATGTGGCCTTACTGTATTAAGTTCCTTCTATATATAATTTTTAGAGAGTTTTTATTATGAAAATGTATTGAATTCTGTCAAATACTTTCTCTGCATCTATTGAAATAATCATAATTTTTATCCTTCATTCTGTTAATGTGTTGCATCACATTGATTTACATACATTGAACCATTTTCATCCCAGAGATAAATCCCACTTGGTCATAGTGTAAGAACCTTTGAATGTGCTGTTTAATTTGCTTGTTGATATTTTGTCAAGGATTTTTACACCCATGTATGTCAGGAAAATTGACCTGTAGTTTTCTTTTCTTGTAGTGTCTTTGTCTGGCTTTGGTGTTATGGTGATGCTGTCCTCATACAATGAGTTCACTGGACTCTTGTTTGGGGAAGAGTTTAAGAAAGTTTTTTTTCTTCTTTCTTTTTTCTTTTTTAAGTGTGTAGAATTCACCTATGAAGCCTTCTGCTCCTGAACTTTTCTTTATTGGGAAG